TTGTTTTGGGGTTTTGTTGTTCTCCCGCCCTGGCGGGGGGTCGGGCTAGAAGATCTACTAGGTCCCTTCCGACCCTAAATCTATGAAACTATGAAACTATGAATTTTGTGATAACACATTTAAGTATAAATGGCATTGAGGTCCAGACCTTTCATTTACAGAGCCTGCTGCTGGGTCACTGGGAGTTTGCTGTTGACTTCAAGGGGAGCAGGGTTGAACCCAATAAATGGTGCTGGTGACAAAGTGTGTACCAGGCAGGATGCATCAACCCTTTCGGCGTTTGAGATGTGACCACAGACTTGAGAAAGGGAGCATAGCCCATAGGTGCACGTCTCTAATTGTCACATGCACATCCTGATGAGTTCCAAGCCTTGACGTGCTGCTTAATGAACAGGACACGAACAGGGCTCAGTTTGCTGACTGTGCCGTCTGGGCTGTCAACATCATTTCCTGGCAAACAGGCAAATTTAGAGTCTCTGGAGAGGATTTGAAGCCCACAGGGTTGACACCTGGTATGACTTTCTGCACAGGATCTTCACAAATGAAGAAATCTGACACACGTTTGTATTTTATGGCCAATTAAGTACGTGAAATGGCCACCTGAAGAAGACAGAGCAGGATTTAAATGATATGCTCATGACACCTTAGAAGGCCATTAGAAGATCTCAGCATTGTTGTGGACAGACATCGGGGGGACAGGAAATTTATTATAAGCCTTTTCCCTTGTAGAAAGATAATAATACATAGTTAGCCGTGCACCTGTTCACCAAAAGAGGCACACAGCTACGCTTACATCCATCCAAGTTCTCTCTCAGCCTAGATTTGGATGTTTACAGAGGTCTCTGAGCTGAGCATCATAGATCATTTGTGAATGCCCTACACTCTGAGGAATTTGATTTTCACATGTATGTGTGGGAGAAGTTGAATGTGCATGCAGATCGAGCTGTGGTCTCTTAGATTAACAGCATCTGGACTGAGCAACTCTGTCTTCTGACCTTGATTAAACCAATGAAACCTTGTGTTGTTTCAATGGTATCCTTAATCTGCT